GAGGAAGATGGGCACGGATGTTAGCCCAGGGCCAGTCCTCCTCACAAAAAAAAAAAAAAAAAAAAAAGGATAGATCTGTAGTTAGAACCCTGGGTTTGAATCCTGGGACTTATAAGTCGTGTGGCCTTGGGCAAGTCTTGTAACCTCTTTGTGCCTCAGTTTCCTCAACTATAAAGTGGGATACAACAGTACCTACCTAATCGAGCTGTTGTGAGGCTTAAATGAGATCATTAATCTCAAGTGCTTAGATCAGGGCCCAGCACACAATAGGTGCTACTAAAGTACTAGCTGTTATCATTATTGTTACTATTATTCAGCCTTTTGGGTATCAATTTCCATTCCTTAGTGTGTAGGACCTTGCTACTCAAAGTGCGGTCCCGGGGCCAGTAGCATCATCACAGTCTGACGGTGTGTGAGCAATGCAGGATCTCCGGCCCCACCCCAGACCTGTTGAGTGAGAATCCGCATTTGCACAAGACCCCCAGGTGACTCGGATAGAGGCTCTGGGCTAGGAAAGCCTCCGCTAACTCAAGGTCTGTCTCCCTCCAAGCTGTATCCCCAGAACCCCGTGCCTCTAGTCTGGCACAGAGTAGGTGCTCGGCAAGAATTTGCAAAGTGAATAAATAAGCTCAGCTAAACACTGTAGGGGGTCTTGAAGGATTTCAAAGCATTTTGGAAAGGTCCCCTAGAAGCAGCATGGAGCGCGATCCCAGGGGCTCATCTGCTGGCTACGGCGGCCACCAGGCAAGAAGTGCTGAGTGGTTGAGCCACAGCAGGGCCAGTGGGCATAGATGGAGGGCTTAGGAGGATTTGGGGGCTGCTCAGAGTGGGAGGTGAAGAGGACATGAAGTCTGAGGGAGAGGACTGGTCACACCCCAACACCTCCAGGGCTCAGGAGGTGAGAACAAGCTTCATGCACAAGAGAAGGAGGGGTCCTCCGGGGGTCTCTCTGCTGGGGCAGAGCGAGGTCCCGGAGGCGGCAGGGGACTGTGCTGGAGGAGCCTGTGACAGTAGCCTCGAGGCCCCACCCCCACTTGCTGTTGGAAGGAAGAAGGTGGGGAGCAGGAAGAGCCCGAGGCCCCAGATCCTTACCCGAGAAGGCATTATTGGTGTTGAGGAAGTAGATCTCCTCACGGCCATCCCCGTCGATGTCGCAGGCTGTGACCCCGATGGCGTTGCCCTGCCGGTCCCGCAGCGCGTAGTAGGGGGAGCTGCGCTCGTCCACCGCGATGTTCACCAGCCGCTTCTGGGCCCGGTCGTACTTCAGAACCAGGTTGGGACCGTTGTACCTGGAGGAGGAAGCGGAGGGGGCGTTGGAGAGAAGCAGCTGGGCCCACCCAGTTCCACTGACCAGAGAATGGGCTCAGAGTCCTCCCGGCCAGGTCAACATGGGGTAGTTCAGCCCCAGAGCATTTCCAGGGAACCCTCGGTAGCCTCCCCTTGCGGTGGCGGGGGGGTCCCTGGGTGTTTGACAAGAGTCCCTGAGTCAGATAATGGGCCCAGGCAAAGTGAGTCGACTGGGCCCATGTGGGACACAATATAAGGAGCAGGGTGGCGGAGAGGAGTGGGCAGCCAGCGACAACCCCTAAGCACAGGCTTCCCTGAAGAAAGGAAAAACCTCTCTGACATGTACTTTGACCATTTCAGGATAAAAGGCACTTTCATATTTATGATATCGTTAATTTAAATCTAACAACAATCAAGCGAAGTAGGCTTAGGAGGCTGTATTATTAACCCATTTTATAGATGGGGCAATTGATGAGCTTCATCAGGGAAACAGGCTCAGAGAGGTTGAGTGCCCTTCCCAAGGTAACACAGTGAGTAAGTGTCAGGCGCTGGGACTGAACCTAGGCCCTTTCTGTTATCCCCAAAGCCCTTGTGAATGAGCCCTGGAGGAGCAGACGCTTTGTCTTTGAGGTTTGGAATGACTCTCTCCTGACAGAAGGTCCCAGCATTTAAACAGTCCTGTAGCATGAAATTAGCATCTCAGACAGGAGATTATGAACACATCTAAGTCATTAGGCGGGCCTGCTGGATCTCTTTTTCTAAGAAACTCAGGGATTAAAGGGCTCATCAGTCCTCATCTCTCCCGTCTCACTCTCCTGCAGCCACACGGCCTCCTTGCTGCAGGGAAGACATGTTCTTGCCTCAGGCACTTTGCACTTGCTGTTCCCTCTGCCCAGGACACTTGTCCTCCAGATATCCACATGGCTGTCTCCCTCTTTCACCTCCTTCAGGCCCTGGCTCAACTGCCCCTTCTGTGAGGCCTTCCTTCCCACAGTCCTGAAACTTGCAGCTACCCCCACCCTGCACTCCCTATCCCTCACCCCTGCTCTCTTTCCCCGCTTTTACCACCTGCTGACAATTCGCTGTCTTTTTGTGTCTCTCTCCCTTGTCTGTTGGATCCCACTAGATTGTCAGCTCCACCAGGGCAGAACTTTTTGTCTGTTTGGTTGCCCAGGGCCTAGAACAGCGCCTGGCACACAATAGGTGCTCAAGAGATACTTGTTGAATGACTGAATGAACGAAACCTCAGAGCTCACGTCTGAGTCTAAGGGCTTAGGTGTCCCATGGTCGATTTCTTCCCATTGCCTTTCCATCTGGAGAGAGCAGCCTGCCCAAGGTCACCCCCCGACAGCACAGCCACGAATGTCTGAAGGCCTCCTCCCGCTGCCTAGAGCACCGGCTTGCCAGGCTCTCCAAAGGAACGCGGCCAACCCCCATCCATTAGTCCCCGGCCTCCTGCCTTTGTCTTAACCTGAGTGCGTCCATCCTGAGTGGAGTTCAGCTGCGGATGGGCCCTGGCTGAGAACACTCGGGGGAGGGCGGAAAGAACTCTCCAAGGTCTTTGAGAAATCACTTCTTGCTTTCCTGAAACAGATCCAACTTGGCCCTTCCTTCCTCACCAAGATGCAGAGCTGGTGAAGTCTGGGGGATGCTGAGCAACTGGCCAGGCGCCCTTTGGCACCCACAGTATGTGAAAGGGGAGACGGAGCTCATGGAGGCTGAGTCAGCACCCGGGGACGGAAGGTGGCGCCTCACACGCCTTGACAAAGAGCGTCTGAGGCCGCACATCAAGGGCGCAGCGTGACCTACGGGGCTGTCTAGGCAGGAGTGATGGAACGCTAGGGTTCTAGCACCGTCAGCAGCTGGCTCCAGCCCCCAGGGACAGGAAGTGCCTTCTGGTCCTCAGAGCCTCTGGGGCTTCTGTTTACTGCCATCGCTACCGCTTCTCACCAGACACTGTAGTCCTTGAGGGCTAGGCCTTGCTAAAAGCACTTTCACATGCATTGTCTCCCCTGAGCCCCACATAATCCTAGAAAGAAGTAAATAAGGCATTTTTCTAGAAAAGGAAACTGAGGGTCAGAGAGGCAAAGTGAGCTGTCCAAGGTTGCACAGCTCGAACGTGGCACCACTGGGCCTCTAACTATCTCCAGGGTGCAAATCCTGTGTTCTTTCCACGCTGCCTGTGACGCCAACACTCTCAGTCCTCTGCGTTTTTTTTATGGCAGCCTTCCCCAAAGTAGAGACCATGAGAAATGCCCAGGAACTTCATGTAAATGGCGGAGATAACAACCCTACGTTTCTACAGTCCTTTACAGTTTACAAAGCACTTTCTCATCCTTGATCTCATTGGCTTCTTGCAGGTCTTGACTCTGCCACAGATTAGTTTTGTGACCTTAGACTGGGCAGGGACTCTCTCTCGGTTCTGGGTTTCTCTTCTGCAAAATGAGAGAGTTGGACTAAATCACAGGGTCACAGGATGTGTGGACAAATGTGGCCGTGGGGGCGGGCCTCTGGGCCCTCCACGCTGTTTCACCCAGTGCATTTCTATGTTGATGTGTTCTATTTTATGCACCACATTCCATAAAGCATTTAAATAAGGGATTCCGGAGCCAGCGTTTGAAAGGCCCTGGACTGGAAGCTCTGGGAGAGCCCTCCTCGGTCTGCGTCTCTCGGTCCACGCGTCTGACTCCAACGTTAGCAGGTGGGCAGAGCAGGCACATCCTCCCCCAGGCTATGGCTGAGGAGCCACCAGGTGAAGACCAGCGCCGACACCCCCTATTCGCACCCTCTGTCCCTCAGGTCTCCCAGAATGTCTTCACCATCCCCTGGAGCCAGCTCCCAGTGGGAGGTGGGGGCCATGGCCTCTGCACATATCTGGAGGCCAGGCCTTTCACCCCGAATCTGGGATAGCAGGTGTGCACACAAGGTCCCTGCTCCTGTGGTGGTGGCCCTGGGGGAGCAGATCACCCTGGATCATCTCTTCTGTGAAGAACTTGGGGGTGCTAGTTCCAGGGCACCCCCTAAGGGGATGGTAGGGTGGGGTTTCTAGGCTGGCTTAAATTCCCTCTTCTGTTACAGTGAGCACTACAGAGTCCTCCCCAAACCTACATGGCAGCCTGGGATGATTCCCGACACTCTGGCCCCTTCTCTGCCACCACCATCCCTAGGGCTACAGACACGAAGCCAGACCAACAGCTCCTAGGTAGGGTTCTTCACAACCTGTGGTGCAAGGCCAGGGGGCAGGGCACAGAGTTGCCACCCCTCCCTTCCACCCAGCCTGCCCTTTGCTGGGTCTGCTGGACAGATATCCAATCCTCTTACAATGTTCCCCCAGGGTAGCCAGCCTGATCCCCCACTCCCTTCTCCATGGAGCCGATGCTCCAGTGGGTTCCTTTCCACTCCCTGAAGAGGCTTTGCCCTTTCGGCTTCTGTGACTTTGCTCAGCTGTATCCGCCCCCTCCCGTGGAGAATGTTCCCTCCACCCTCCTGGCCTCCAATGAGCCTGCCCCGACCCCTCGGCTGGACGCGATCTTCTCTTCTCCAGGTACCCATAGCGCTTTTGCACTTTGCCTATTCTTGCGAGGGCAGAGTTGTTTGTGTTCCGACATCACTTCCCTCATTAAAACATGTGCTTCTGGAGCCCAGGCAGCATGTGGATGCCTCTCTGCATTAGATGTGCCTAGAGCAACGCTTGGCATAGAGAAGGTGCTCGACAAATACCTGTGTGAGTGGGCGAATAAATAAAAATAATCACGGGGAGCATTCAGGGAGCAGTCACCAGCTTCACAGGCACCAAGCACTATTCGAAGCACTTCATCCCCCCGATCTCATGACAATCCTAGATTTTACAGATGTGGAGACTGAGGTACAGAGGTTAGCCACAGTTGCTAACCCCCCCGCAGTCCCTCTGCGGGGTCAGTTCCCACGCCGAAAGGCCTGGGGAGCTGCATGGCAGCTACGTCAGATTTCACTTTTCCTCTCTCTGACACCTGCCACAGAACTGTTGGGCACTTCTAGAAATCCAGGAGACTTTGAAGCTCAAACGGAGTTAGGAAGTGGGACAAGGTCCCATGTTCTTGAAAAGCAGTTGTGACTTTGTAATACCCAAGGCTGGGCCAGCAGGCAGAAGTGACCGGCTCGGTGGCAACTGGAAAATCTGCTTGAGAGACACCAGCAGGGCACAACTCACACATGGCTGAGTGCTGTCCAATTTGGGTGCCAGTCCCCTGGGACAGGACAGCTGTGGGCGGGGAGGGGCCTGGGCGTGCGCTCCTGGCCCTGCCACCTCCTGGCTCTGACCTTGAGCTTGTCACTCAACTCCAAGCTTCAGCTTCCTTGTCTATAACTCAGGGCTGCTCTACACCCCACAGGGTGGCTGCGAGGAGAAGAGAGCGTGTGACAACACTCGGTAAACTGTGAAGAGCTACGCAATTGTAAGTTCTCATTATTATTTAAACAAAGACAAAAAAAACAAAGGGGCACAATATCTCACTCTCCAGTGATCATTTTGAGAGTTTCCAAACACACTCTAGTGTTTCTCATCCAAAAACATCCCACCCTTGATTTCTCATCCTCTGCGGGTATGTTTCTTAATTCCCCTTTATAACTAAACTTCTCAGGGTTATCTCCATTTTCTCACTGCCCGTTCACCCCACCCCAACTCCCGCAAAGCTGCTCTTGTTACTGTCATCGGCGGCATTCATGTGGCCGCATCTAGGGACGCCCCTTCCGTCCTCACCTCCCTCCGCCTCTCAGCCGTCTTTGGCACAGTGGCCGCTATCTCGGCCTCTACCACACCACCTCCTTCTTAAAACACTCTCCTCTCTTGGCTCTCAGGATGCCATCCTCCAGTTTTCCTGCTCTCTCTGGCTTCTCCTCCTCTTCTCCTTTGCAGGTTCTTTCTCCTCTCCCCTCTCTCTTAATGTTAGAGTCCCCAGGCCTGGTCCTGGGCCCCCTTCTTCTCTCTCTGGCCCCATTCACTAGGGGATAATATCCATTCCCA